CCCGCACCCCGCTACCCCTGGGGGGAGCTCCACCGGGCTCTCCTTCCTCTTTACTTCGCGCGGACGCGCCCCCCTCGAGTGCCCACTCGCCGCGTGCGTGGACGTTTGCGGTGGCCGTGGTCGCGGTCAGGAGGCACTGCGTCCGAAGAAGGAGGCTTCGAGACGAGAGAGAGAGAGAGAGAAACCAACACCACGCAACGCCATCCGACGTTGTGTGTGTGTGTGTGTCTGTGTGTTTTCGAACGCTCCCGCGCTAACGCGGCGAGCCCCCGCGCCGAAGTCGCGACCCGCGAGCGCGAGATACGCGGGTACTTTTGTTTATGTCGTGTTGTCAAGCTCGAGATTTTCAAATGGAGACGTAAACGCAGACGAGATAAGAACATTTATTTCTCCGACTCTCTATATACTAGTTTAAAATTACGTTGGTTTTATATATACACAATGCGCTACAACAGAAATACTGATGATGAAAGATGTATACCGAATTGTAATAAAATGGTAAAAAAATGTACAAATAGTCACTTGATAATTAAAAACAACAAATTTTATCACACTAAAGACGTAGGACGTCCTACGCTTGCACTGTGTGCGGTCAGAGCAAGGTGATCACTAAAAAATAAATAACAACTAATCAACTTGATCTGGCAGCTTATAGAAATTTAAAATCTTGTGTCCTACTTGAGAGACTTGAGATCAACGCATATACATTTTTCAAATGAGAACGATTGAGATTGAACGATTGACTTGAGCAAGAAACTACTGGAATGGTGGAGCAGTCCTCAGAGGGAAGAAGTATTACATGTATTCTGATATCTGACTGATTATCCAGCGTCAAGCGTGAAGAATGGCAAATTTTGGCACTGTGTGTAAACACGCTACACGGTTCACGGACAAAATGGCGTTTGGGAATGGCATGCACCTGATGCGTAACAGCAGATCTTAAATTAAATTAAGTCGAAAAGAACACGACCAGCCGCGATCGGCGAACCCTTTCGACTCGCGTCCGCGCGCGCTGTGTGCTTGCAAATCTATTCCTCCCTCCGGGTGTGTCTCAGTCAGGTCTTTGGCGGTGTGTACCCCGGCAGGGGCATCGCGGCCGCCCCGCCGGCCCCGGGCCTCGCCCTGCCTCCTCCCGGCGCCGCCGGACCGCCGAACTTGCTGAGCTCGTGCTTGATGGCGGCGATGAGGGGCACGGCCGGGTCGTGCGGCGGCAGCCTGGCGTCGGCCAGGATGACGGCCGTGTCGATCCTCGGCGTGATGCTGCCGGCCGAGGCGCCAAGGCCCGTGGGCAGCTGCGGCCGGTGGAAGGGCCCCGCGGACAGCGGCCGCGCCACGGCCTGGTCCGAGCCCCACGCGCCCCGCGGCCCGCCGCCCGTGCCGCCGCCCGTGCTGTTGCCCGACGCCGTGGAGGGGCGCCGCGCGTCCGTGACGGACGTCTTGGGGCGGGGAGCGACGTCCCCCAGGGGCGCTCCAACCGGCCTGTGGGCGGAACAGAGACTGGAGCTGGAGACTGTGCTAGGAGGCCGATGATGCGACCCTTCAACTTGTCGAACGTCAAAGCCGAGCGAGCAGAAATAAAATTCGTCTTACCTCAGCACGGCTGATTGCACTCGGTGCTCGGGCGGCGGTCCGGGGAGGACGTGGTTCAGCACGCTGCTGATCTGGAGACCCGCGGCCGGGGGCGCTGGCGGCGGGGGCGAGGACGACGAAGAGTCGTCCTCGTCTTGCGAGGCCTGCGACGCGGATCGCGAGGCGGATCGCGACCCAGCGAACAGGCTAAAGGCGTCGTCGAGCAGCTCGTGGAAGCGGCGACGCATCCGGCCGGCCTGGGGAGGCGACCCGGTGCCGTCCGACGGGGTGCCCGTGGCCGTCGGGCTGCCGTCGCTCGCACCCGCCGAGCCCGTCGACGTCAGCCTCTGGCAGCGCAGGCCCCAGACGACGGGGCCAAGCACCCCGGGGTCTCCCTCCAGCGACGAGTGCCTCACCCCGGCGCGCGCCAGCTCGCGGCCCTGCTGGGCGGGCGCGGGCGCGGGGGCGGGCGCACGCAAGGCGTGGGGGAGGTCCTCGAGGCGAGCGGGCAGGGCGCGCGGCATGGCCGTAGAGGGCGGGGCGCGCACGGGCGCGGTCACCGCCTGCCGCGGGGGCGGCGGTCTGAGGATGGGCCGCGAGTGCGCAGGCACGGGTGGGCTGACGGCCACCCGCTCCACCGAGTCCTCGCCGTCCAGATGGCTGATGCTCACGGGGTCGAGGACCATCGTCAGCGGCTCCGGCATGTTTGCGCCTCTGCAAGGTGCCAGACCATTTTCATTAGCTTTGTTTTTTTAACCTTATCACACACAAAAGTTGACCTAGACAATCTGATGCGAACCGCGGGAACTGCTTGACAGACGGCATCGACAGGTACGAGTTGGGGCTGGCCCGTCTGACGGGCGCCCCGGGGGACGTTCCGGCGTCTAGCACGTCGAGGTCGTGGACTTGCGCGTGGTGGGACGCGGCCCCGGCACCCGGGCCGGCGGCGGTGGATGTGCCCCGGGGGTGCGGCACCACCACGTCGTCCTCGGTGAGGTGGAGGGTGTCGACGAGCGCTGGGTTGACCGCGTGGTGCAGGGCCTGGTGATGCTGGTGGCGACCTTGTTGATGGGGGCCGTGTGGGTGCCCGCGGCGCCTCACGAGCGCGGCGTCGGACGACGACCCGGATCCCGATCCCGAGCAGGACGACGCGCACGAGAATGAGCTCCGAGACCCGCTGCCGCTGCCACTCAGCCGGCTGCCGCCGCCGTGCGGAACGTTCGCCCCCGCCACGCCCAGGAAGCCGGGGGATGACTTGTCCCTCTGACAGAGCGAAACGGTAACATTAGCGCAGTCGGCGTCGCCAAGCTCGCCCTACACAAGAAAAGTATACCTTGTGGTGGTGGTGCTCGTCGTGCATGAAGCCCTTGTTGTCCCTGCCGTGGAAGTGGCGCCGTCGGTTGGCCGCGCCGTGGCCGCCGTGGTGCTCGCCGCCCGCCGCCGTCCCCGCGCCCGCGGCGCCGCCCGAGGACGCGGAGCCCGTGACCCGGCGGCGCCTGCGCGCGGCCCTGGAGCGCTGCGAGAGCGCGGCCCCGGCCAGGGCCAGCATGAGCAGCAGCAGCGCCACCCCGCAGCCGGCCGCGCCCACCAGCAGCCAGGCGTCGCGGCTGCGGCCGCGGGCGGCCAGCGGCACCGGCGCGTGCAGGTAGGCTGCAACACCAAGCAGTACATAGAATCGAGTCGCCAGAAAATGAGATCGTCGACAAAAAGTACACGTGAATGTCTCACGATCGTGACGACTCTAACGGCGCCTGCTATGCGCTGGATAGGCCAACCCGCCAAGCAGCTGTGTGAAGACGGCGGCCCGCCTAGAGCGCCGTAGTGCGGAAGAGCTCTGCATACTCACGCTCGGCCTTGGTGATGATGGGCAGCCCCAGCTCGGCGGCCATCTCGTGGTCGCTGATGAGCCTCATGTCGTGCGCCGCCGTGGCCGCGGGGACGGGCCGCCCGCGCACACGCACCCAGTAGAGGAGCCTCGCGGCCCCGGGGGCCCCCGGGAGGCCGCCGCCGCGCTGCAGGGTCGTCACGTTGTGCACCGTGACGCGGACGACATCCGGCGCGCGCCGCAGCCTCGCCAGGGCCGCCAGGGCCGACGCGTTGACGATGCCGAGGTGGCGCTCCTGTTGCCTGCTGACAGCACGCCGCCGCCGTCAGAGCACCGTGGTCAAAAGTGAACATCGTTGGCCTCCCAGAGCCGTGTGGGCGTCCTACCTGAGGAAGGCGGCCTTGTACAGGCGGGCCAGCCTGGACTCGAGCAGGTCGGTGGCCAGGTGCCAGTCCTGAGTGTCATTGGCCTTGAGGACCGTCACCAGCCAGTAGCGCGGCCCGGGCAGCGAGTCGTCGTACGCCTCATCCGGGTCCTGCGGCGAGCCGTTCAGCAGCGTCCAGGTGGGAGAAGGGTACGGCGTCGCCGTGGACGGCACGGACCCCTCGCCGGGCCACGGGAAGCTGGCCGTCGGAGTGATGGGCCCGATGGGGGATCTGCAGGCAGGGTCGATGCGTGATAAAAGCAGTTAAATTAAAGAAGTTTTAAAAACATTTTGATTTCAATGGTTAAAGTTTGATTTAAATCGCACTTACCTTGGCACCTGCGTGATGATGAGTGAGGTGGTGTAAAGCGGAGTAGGCGTAGCCAGCACCGTGGTGGTGGCCGTGGTCGTCTTGTACACCGTGGTGGTGGTGAGGGCCAGCACCGGCGTGCCGTAGGGCCGGGGGCTGGGCGCCACCTCGCCGTCGCCGGACCCCGTCCAGAGGAAGTCCTCCAGGCGGTAGGTGCGTCGCACGGCCCCATCGTCCAGGACGCCGCTTTCTGCGGCCGCACGAACAAAAGAAGAAGAAGAAGGCCGTGAGCCAGTCACCCACATGGGGATGAACGCAGGACACAGATACCAACCCCATCGACCCCAAACAGAACTGTGTCTATTGTGAGCGCTCCCAGCCGCGGGGTCGTTGCCACCCCGGCGGCTATTTCCATCGGGTGCAAGCGCAGGAGGGGGAGGCGAACACATGAGGTCAAAAAAGACGAGAGGGAAAGTGAACTAGAGCGGGCGCGGAGTGCATACGGGGCGCATCGATTGGAGCCGAGGAGCCCCTCGCGGCCCGCGGGGCAGGGGGCCCTGGCAGCATGGGGTGTGCAGGGCGGGGCGGAGCAGGGCCGGGCAGGAGGGCGGACAGAGGACTTGCACCGGGTCGCCTCCCCACCCCCGCTCGCCACCCTCATGCACATAGCCCAAGGGGGGCGCTGCAGCACCGGGCTGCCGGGGTGTCCCAGCGCCGCCCCCCGCCGCTCCCACCGCCCGCGCCGTGCACGGTGTCGTAAGACCTCGAAGGGGATGGCGCGCCATGCATGGAGCGGGGAAGTCAAACTCGACGGTAGGGGAGTGTATATACGTCGCGTATACGACGGCATGCCTCACAGAGTCTCACGCCCCGCCGCGGGTCGCGGGGCCGCCGCTGCCGGGGGCGCCGCCACCGCCGGCATATCGACCTGCGACCTGCGTACGCGCGACACGCCCGTTGCGTGAGCCGGCGGGGTGGCAGCGACGTGCCGGTGCCCCCCACCCCCCTCCCCACATGCACCTGCCTGCAGGCGCCCCCGGCCCTCTTTTCTCCATCCCCTACCCTCCTCTAGCTCAGTCTTGTGCTTCCGCCAAAACTCCATGGCGCGCGACGCTTTTCGCGCAGCAGACGCGGGCGCGGCGTCGACAGAGACGTCACAGTCGTAACGGCCGTAGAGCTTGTCGCGTGTGAATCAGGCCTCGCACCGGAAGAGCGTGATGCTCGCGGCCTGCACCCGGCCCTGCGTGCCGGGCGCCCCGCCCCGTGCGCCCCCCGCGCCCCGCGCGCCGCGGCTGCACCGCTGCCTCTGACAAGCTTTGTTGGGCTCGGGTGTCGCCCGGCGCTTCGCCCTTTTCACGGATTCCTGCCCTCCTCCCCTCCTTCCCCCTCCCGCGCGCCTATTTTCCCCATTCCGTCATGCAAAACTGTCATCTGCTGTAGCGGCCTCTGAGCAGTGGCGCTAGCGCGAAGGATTCCAAATCATCGCCTCGGCGGAGGAGACTACGTGCCTCATGCCCTCATACCCCCCCCCCTCCGGCTTTTAAAGTTGACTTCCGGAGACCTGAATGCAACCGCGCTAACGGCGGTTCTACTCGCATTCAAAATACAATTAATGTTACCCTCAAACGAAACGAAGTAGTGAATAACTTTGGATATGAGCCGCTTAGTGGAGACAAAGAACATTAAATGGGAGGGTACGAGCGGTGCGATAGGGTCTTCGCGTGCCTGTCCCCGATGTACAGCGGGTTGAAAGGGAGGGGGGGGGGGTATTGTGTTGATCCTTAATCTTGTACTTTGCTGCGGACTTACAACTGCACTTTGGTGGTTCGAGGTATATTTATGATCATAGTACACCTGTTACGGTGTCTGTAATTCTCCTTAAACACTTTTTCGGAAACACTGTACCGCACCGCATGCAGGCGTGCAAAACAAGAAGTTTGCCTACAGTGCAGGGAGCCCTCATCCGTGCCCTCCACTCCGCAAAAGAATAAGTGTGATGTGAGGAGGACCTAACTGCCGATAATGTAGAAAAGACTCTTCACGTTCAGTTAACTGGGAAGATGCCGCCAGAAGAAAAGTTTCATTTAGCAAGGAAGGGGCGATTGAATAAAAGTGTGATGATGGTTGTGTGTGCACCACGTGCCAGCAGGTGCACGCTTGTGCGGCTGTGTTCGCGGGGCGGTCTGAATGTGGCACCGCTCGCTCCCTTACGCTCGATCCTCTCCCCTGCCACGCCCGCCGCACGACGCTGGGAGATCGATCCGCCCCGACCGTACCCCCACCGCCCCCCGGGGGCGCGCGCTTTGAAAACGTCGGGCGTGGCGGCGTGGCTTAGTGGCGTGGCGTGGAGTGTCGCGGCCGTGCCGAGGTGGACGACAGGCGTGCTGTGCTTCAGCAGTCCGTGCGGTCGGGCTATGCCATGCCCTGCCGCGTCCTTCGGATACTCGGGGGTGTGCTGAATGACCTAGAACGACCTAATGACTCACTTGCGCCGCCCCCCTCCCCTCCCCTCGAGCAGGACCGACCCGTCACAACAATGCCTCATCAACAGTCGAGAGCACGGCAGCAGCGCGGCGTGGCGTGGCGGTCCACAGAGATACAGCCCGGCCCTGGATGCTGCGCGTCGGCTCCCAATAGACGTCCTGTGGATCCTCAACCAGCAGACGGCCCCTGTGCCCACCGTGGCCTCATTTCGAGCACTTGAAAACAATACAATCACGGGCCTCGATTAAAGATCGTCCACAGAAAGTATGTCCGGCATTCGCCCGTTGCGATACTGCCGAGTTGAGTCGATGCAAGGTTCTCATGGCGCCTGATGGGTAGGCAAGATCTCGCCTGCAGCGCGTGCGTGTACCGCGGGGTGGCCTACCCCGAGTCCCGCAGGCGCCGAGCTCCCGCACTCTACCGAATTGGAGCGTAGCGCAAAATTGCAAAGTACTTGGGGTAGTCGTTCGCTCCCAGATATTTCTTGCGGTTACACATACCGCGCATGCAGAAGCATGAGAGGATGTCGCCTACCCGCCCAGCACCACGGGACGCAGAGTGCAGTAATCGAACCGGCAACCGATACCTATCGAGAGGTGTTCGAGGAACAGAGAACACTTTGTGGGGGAGGGGGAGGGGGAGGGGGCGACGCCACGTGCTCGGTGCGTGCGGACCACCACCACCAGCAGCAGTGTAGCATTGTGTAGCACTGCGTAGCACGCGGAGGATCGCATGTCGGTTGACGTACTGCCGCCGCCGCCCCGGCCGCCCCGGTCTATCGGGCTGCGGCTGTCGGGGAGCGGAGCTTGACAAGCCGAATATCTTGACGTCCGGGGTGCATTGCGCCCCCCCCCCCCCCCCC